GAGTAAAACATGTTTGCTCAAAACACAAATACTACAACTGATGAAGACAGTCAAGCAATGTTTCTTAACCTTACCACCACCTGAGGCAATTCTGCTGCCATTAGACACTCACTGTGGTGCACTATAGTCCAATATGCCGACAACATTGAGACACAGAGCAACACACAATTTAGTATAATACATGCCTTATCTAAAATTATTTTTTAAAAAGATTGTAGGCACTGGGGCATAGACAGTGCAGCCTGAATGAAGCAGGATTCACAGAAGTGCACACCACGCAGTTGTGAAGGCGGGAAAACGGATCAGTACTACACGAGAAAAGTGAGCACCAAAGAAACGGGAGAAAATGGAAGAGACATTATCTGTGAGACTATTCTGGTTATACACTATTATGAAATATTTATTCAGTATTTGCTGAGGTATCCCACACATAATCTTTGCTGCAGTTGATCTTTATTTTACAGTCAATCACTGATGTTTTTGTCCTGCCATTTTTTTATCCTTTATCACTTCTGACTGTTTATTCCTCTGTGTGTGCTTAAACACTGTCTTCTTTCATTTCTTTTACACCTTTCCTTTTTTCTATCACTCGGAAAGCTACTCCAGCTTCTTGGAAGGGACTTGTGTTGCATTGTTTAAACCAGTATTGGAAGTCAAATCCCAAAGACGTTCTCCGCTTTTAAACTAGCACTTAGCTTCATACCTTACTTTTCATCTTTTCTCTGAGTGGTAAGTTCTAGAGAAAAAGGGACTGAAGATGCAGACCTCCTGCCAGCTTATGTCCCTAAAGATATTGTCTGCTTTCGGGTTTGTTTCTTTCTCAATCTGGGCAACAAATGCTTATGCGTTTAATACCAATCATCGAGAATTAAACTAGTCCACATATGATAATATTTTCCCTGGTGTAAATTATGCTTTTTTTTTTCTGCTATGCTCGTCTACCCTTCTGCCAGCCCTCTCACTACACCGTGTACTACATGACCATCTCAAGCGAAGGGTCACCAAACTGTTGCTGGTCCCCCCAGCTCTGTGCAAGTAACCTAGGCAATAACTCTCAAGAAATAGTACATAGGGATGTATGGCAAAGCATAATTCAGTGTCTCTTGCTATTATTTATTATTCCTTCATCCATCCTGCATTTCAGAACCATCCTGATATGAAAATACATGTCTCTTGTTTGGGAGCTATATCGAATTTTCATATAAAGTCACAAATACATTTTTCACCATTAGGAAGTTATACCGTATGCAGTTTCAGAAAAGGCTCTGAACTTTCCAATCAAGGTGTTAATTCTTTAAAACAGGGAATTTCAAACTTTCTCCTTTTTCTGACAACAGGGGCCTTTTTAGAAACACGATTTTGCGAATACCTGCTGGCCTATTCACTGTCAAAGAGGCCAAATCTCATTCCATTTCTGATGGCTTAACATTCATATGAATAATTCATTAATTGCTACTGCTACTAAAATAATATTATGAGAGTATCTGCTGTATTCTAGCTCCCTTCCAATAAAACTGAGCAGCTGAAAAAGAGGAGGATAAACTGAAATAGCCAAAATTGATATCTAGCTAAATTTGCTCTTCGACAATTGTTCATTCAAGAGACTCTGAATGTGTTTGGAGTTATTATGCTGACCTTTGATTGAGCTGCACTTCAGAAACTCATAATATGTTTCAGAAATTCACCAGCAAGTCATTTGAACTTAAAAGTAACTTGACAAACACAAAGTTCAGACTTCGGCTGCATGTGGGGAAGGAGTCTAAGACAGAAACATGATATTTAAGCAAGACAAAATAAACCTTTTCTAGAAGTTTAGAAAGTGTGGTACTAATCCAAGTCAGATTAAAAAATTGAATCACATGTACACAGGCATGACTATAGCTTCACTCAGAATAAAACACAAAGAAATTCTTCTTATTCCTATTTATGCAAAAGAGAGAGTTCCAATTAAGTTCAGAGGAGCCAGGATTCACTGCCACATGAAACCAGAGATTTCCAATTTGGGGATATACTGTATTCTGTCATTTTCATAAAGAGATTTTGTTTTGGGTCTGCAGATACGTAGCCCATAATTATTAAATTTATCTAGGAAAAGGAATTAGTAGACGGATACAGATGATGGGAATTGTTCAGCACTCGCTTTTTGAAGGAAAGCTTTGGGGAAATTAGTTGCAATCATTTATCATTTTCAGACTGCAGAATGTTTCATTTCATAACAAGTATAATGCAGTGTAACCCAGGTGTTGCAATTTTCGATCCTCTCAAATACTACTGCAATTTTTTGAACCAGTCCTGAAGGCATAACAAAGCGAAATTGGAAGAGAAGGGTTGCTATCTAGAAAGACATGAGAGATTCAAAGCGTTAAGAGAACAAATTAAGAAATTAATGTTAACTTCTGAAATCTCCATGAAAAAGAAATGTATTGTTATTCAAATGTATTATTATTTAATTTTAACATAAGCCTTCTCATTTCCCTGGATTAAGACCATGCTGTTAGAAACTGGCAGAATTAATAACAATAATCATCCATAGTCAATAACAGATTCTTTATTAGCTATGTGAATAAAGATGGGAACTAAGCTGTAATTAGCAACAAGTAAAGGCTCTATAACTTTATCCTACAGCAACATATATTTTTGAGGCAATGATATGCTAATGACAGCTGTATTTTAAGTCTCAGATTAATCGAAGACTTAGAAGTCAGCATATCCTCATGAATAACCCTTACTTATGCATAGTAAGAGCAGTAAGAGAAACTGCTGGAGGGTAAGCACCCTAAATAATTCTCTGTCCCCCACAGGGGTGGCAGCAACATCTGTGGATATCCAAAAATTGGAAGAGGTTAGAAATAATGAACACTTTGCAATTCTGGCATCTGCACTGTCCAACTTCTCTTCAGGCTTTGGGTTAGTAGCTTGATTTTCTGTCAGTGTCTGCCTGCTTGCCTCTCTCTCTCAGCCATTAGAGTTTGTGGATGAGGGAGAAATGGTATTTTATCTTCCTGATTTCTAGCATCTGGTGGAAAGTACCATCAGTCAAGGGAACTGCTAGTGAAAAGCCTTGTTTCTGGCTCATGAGTTAAAATAAGAATTTGCTTTCTCACTGTATCCATGCAGTTTACAAAATCCTTGCCTCTCGTCTTTGCTGAGTAAAATCAAATGAACCTTGATTTGTAGTGCGGTTCACAGTCAGTTTTGACTAAATTGCACTGACCAGCCATGCAAAGCTCTACAATTTTAAGAGAATAAAGGAAGTTTTATGCTATGAAGCCAATATAAATCAATTGTTTTTTCCCCATATATTGCCTTCACAATCTACATAAAATGAAAGGCAATTAGCAAAATGGTAACTTCGCAGATTCTAACAAAGCACAACTCAGACTAATTGTGTTTTTCACTGGTTGTGCAAGGAAGTTGTCACCATTTGTGCTTTAAAACAAAACCAAATGGCTTTTGTGTGCTCACATGAGGCAGTGCGTGAGGACTGCAGTGAGGAGATCGAACTGCCGTGTGCTGTGTGCTGAACTTTAAATGTCTGCCTTCTGTTTTTATTATTAATATAGAATCCTATCAGCATAACTAATGACTTTTTCTTATTTTTGCATGATGCTAAATATTCATGCTATAATGACTTGAAAGAAGAATGCTTTCTGTCAAGCTAACTAAAATAACTGGGGATGAAATCAGAGGAATAGGGTAGGGAGAGAGGGAAGAAGAAGAAATGAGAAAAAAATTTCCAAGACTTTAATTTGAATTTATTTTGCTAGACAACATCCACAGATCATTTTTGTCAACAGAAAATTATACTGAATCAATTAACATGAGTATCAGGCAAAATACAAAGACCAGCCATGGCCACCATGATGTTATTCTGATGAGCGTGCAATTTAAGTATAAAAAACCCCACCCTACTGCTTTGTCTTTTTCTGTGTATTCATCCTTCTTATTTGGTTGGGGTTTTTTTGTTTTGTAGATATTATCGCAGGAAGCTCCTTAGTGTACTAAGAGCTGGAAGAGACTGGATACCCTGCCAGATAATAGTTTTTAAACACCCATAAAAGAATTGGAGGGGTACAAAACTGCTCCATTAGGCACTGACATGCTCTGGTGGTTTCACTTTCCACGACTGACTAAGCCTTTTCCTTCGTGGTGCAATGTCAGCAATGCAAACCATGGGAACCACTCTGGCCTTGTCTTTTACAAGCAAGCAGTCAGGCCTTCAAACACCAGATTGGTAATGAAAAACACGAGTAGATAGTAGAGAGGGAAGTAGCAGCTTCTGGGTTAACTTTGTGTTTGGACATTGGTCCAAAGAGGCCTATCCATACCATATTCGTTTCCTTTTCTTTATTTCTTTCTTTTTTTCCCACTCTAATAACTTCCACTCAAGCAACCAAAGTTTTTGTCAGGGAATACACTGGCCTTATATCACAAAATACATTACCTATTCTGGTAGACATTTTCCGTTCACCTTTAAACCAGCTGCTTTGCTGCAGCTGCTTAACGCAAGGTGTCCACACAGGGAAAGAAACTGGCTGAAGGAGGGGACTGTAGATATGTTACTGAACTAACATAACTCACCCTAAGCTGATCATGAATATTTTGTGAGCATGGCAATTTGTATCAGGCTACACTCAATTTGGCAAGGTAACTGGAAGGCAGCTACATCTTACGAATCATTTAGAGTTTCAGCTAGGTAACTTTAGCTGACAGAGCACTTGACATTGACCTTTATCAGTTCATATGGTTGTGTTATCTACTTAAGTATGTGCCTGTGGAAGAAATGGGTTTTAAAGAGCTTGGTTCACACTCTGAAATGAACTGTACCTATAAATAATTTTATTTTGTGGAAATTTCTCCACTGCTCTTGTATTCACAAGCTGAAATCAGACACTTGAACACCAACTAAATTCTTGGTAAAATGGTGTACTTAATAAAAAGATGAGGCAAAAGGAAGAAAATACATTCCTTCTAGTGTAAAAGGATGAGAATCTGCTTACCAGCACAGTCACCACACGCAGAACCACTCCTCTCATGTTATTCTCCAACTTTCTGTCTGTTAGTGACCCATTCAGACCAGTGATGGGATTCCAGCAGCCGAGCTGAAACAGAAAACAAAAAATTTCCTTATTTCCCATAAAACTTTGCCAGTCATTCCTTCTAGGTGGCTTTAAGCAGGAACGTACAAAATAAACAGAACACCTTCCGGAATTAATGGGATGGAAAGTCAGGGAAGGGCTTGTGCAAATGAAGCAATTAGGGATGTCAGTTTGGGCTTTTAAATACCAGTGTGCAGTGGATGACTGTGTCCAGGGTTTGGGGGTATACGTATTGATTTAGAAGAGTTCAGGGAGGACTTATATATTAGTGAAAAACATTTTAAAAGTAGTATAGCTGTAACAATACTTCTATCTCATTTCCAGCAATACACTAAGTGGAGAAATAATAGGTACCATAATTTTAGCACGCTGTCTGCTCCAGCCCATCTTTCCTAGCAGAACTCAGATGAAAGGAATTACAGTAGTTTTAATTAAAGCTTATACTACGCATTGATAATGAAACCACAGTGATTTTTAGCAAGGTTAAAAATCACATTTAAACATGATTGAGGAGAAGCGCATTGGATAGGCACAGCACAGTACTGAGAAAGGATGGCAACAGATAATATAGAAAGAGGGATTCAGCTATGAGATGTTTTGCATTGCTGTTATCATATTTCTTGGGTTTCTATGGAAAAAAGCTTTTTCTCAGGGACCTCTCCACGACTAACTGCCTTTCAATCTGAATTTAGTAGATGCTGACCTGTAATTTAGCTTCTCTGAAAATAGAACTTGCCTACATTCTTACATGGTGGTAGATGCTCATCCTGGGTACCAAGAAACAGACCAACCAACAACTCATCCCTTAGCACCACATACAAACATTACTGGTTTCATTTTTGGAATTCATTACCACGTTCATTTGGCCTGTATAATTACCGATGTTAAATCCAAAGCCCAACAGAAGGACAGCAACTGACTTCAGAGGACTTTGGAGCAGAGTCTCAATTATGGTATGTAAACTAATTGCCTATGTAAACCTGTTATACAGTCAAATACACAGAGAAATAGGTAGGCACCTGCATGTACCAGTTCTTGCTCTGAATTGCCTTCTCCATGGACTGTGCAGAAAGCTATGGAGGGATGCTCATCTTCTGACTCAAGTGGCTAACTTAAGTTTCTAAACTCAGGTGGTTTGCATGTCCTTGTTTAAAGGCACAAAAGGTCTCCCTTTGACAAAATAAAGCTTAACATCAATATGTTACTGCTGGGCCCAGGGACCTCTGCTAAGACTAGTCTCTCAGAAAATTCAACCCTACCTGTGAGAAATATCAATTGTAAAACATCGAAAACCTTACTGTACTTTAATGCACAGTCACAGAAATGGCAAGGTGCCTGAACCAGCTGAAGTGATCTGCGAAAGAAGGGGAATACTTTTGCTGGCCTTTATTGAACACCACTTTACAGAAAACATTATTTTCAGTTCTTCATAGAAAAAGCCTTTGTATATGTGTTTCATATATCTTTCAAAGTGGGACACAAAACAAGGAACAAACTCCAAGTACACACCATTTAACAATTTAAGTGCACCATTTGAAAGTTTGTTTTCTTCATTACACCCACTAGGCTATTTTAGAGCAACTTCTAAATTATTTAATTTCAATATATTTATATCAATTTGGAGATGCCTCCTTAAGAAATGAGTGCCTCAAAAAGCAAAAAACCCAAAGCTTTCTGTGATGATATAGAGCTATGTTTCCCAACAGAAGATGGCCTTAAAATAATGCAGTCATTTCTCTCTGCCATTTTCAGGAGTGCTCCAAGCTGTCTTAGTTCTTCCCATTTTGAACTTAAGGTTATACTATTGTCAGGGAATGAGCAAGGGTAATGCTGAACATACTTTTAATCTCAAGTAATAACTGAATCAGGGATCTATTGAACTCCTAACTCCAGCAGAAATTGTTGGAAGTAACAACAGGATAGGAGGAGCAACTAAAGTATGAGGCATCAAATTAATCTCTTGCAATTACTAATCTTTCCAATAGCTATTTCTAAATAAAAGCACAAAAGACCAACGACAGATCATAGTAGCCATCTTTGCTTCTTCTATACTTCCACAGCGTGCCTAGCCGTTCACAGCAGGACAGATGCGCTGCTGACACATTCCAGGTCCTCATCACTCCTCTGGCAAAGCCCTCCAACACTTGGAGCTGAATAACCTAGTTGCTGAAGCATGTTACCTGTAATAATGTAGTAAAATGTAATGAATGTATGTGAAATGTGTGTACACTGTATGTGATAAACCACTGCCAACCTGTAAAGCAAAGCATTTGATAGTCTGTATTTTCTGTATTAAAAATATTGAAAATGACACTAAGTTCAGAATGAAAGCACATTAAATTAATTTCATGATTGTCATTCTTAGTCACATAAAGAAATTAATTAGAACTAAGATCCATTTAGCATATCCAAATGTGTTGGAAGTATAATTACCACAGAAACTACTGCTTTTGCCAGATTTAAAACCCAAGGAAGTTACTGAAGAGCCTTTGTATCCTTTGAGGTTGAAGTCCATTTTTAATTATGTACGTTAATGTGGACATATTTATATAATTGACTTTTTAGCCCAACTCATTCTATCCTTTTAAGGAAAAAAAACTCCAACATAACAGATTCCTGGAAATTTAGCATAGAACTAATTTTCCTTTAAAAAGGCACATTTTATTTTCAATTATTGTTCATTTAATTTTCAGTTCAATTGTTTCTTTACACAACACAGTCATGGCAAAGACAAATGTGCAGTACCTTGCCCATAAAGTTGAAATTGATTTTGAGTGGGAGCTGCTTACTGTTATTAGCGAAAACAAATCAACTGATATCGATGACAATTTGAGCTTGCCATTGCAGCAAGGAGCAAATGTAACTATTGCTGAAACAGTGAGATGGGGGTGGTATGAAGCTACCTCTTCAGTTCTACCTCTCTCTTAACTGCTTTTGCAAAATATTTGTCACTTCTGCATTTACTTCCTTTGTCTTTTGTTCAGTCTCTGATAGTTGAAATGAAAGAAGAGATCAGGCAATAACAGAATCTCACACTAATTCTGGTTGATTTGGGTAGAACAATATGCGTGATGTTGTCTTCATACTATATGAATTTTGTCATTTATAGTGCTTTGTACTTTAGGTACAGTTACTTTTATTTAGTTTAATGACAACATTCACTCTGCTACATTAGGCTATAAAATGATGAAGATGGAGAAGTTGTCAGTGTTCTGCTTCCTTTAATATCCAACTTACAAGCTCCTTCTGATCATCCCACCTCCCAGCTTGTTATCCCCTCTATCATAGCTATTAGAATAGGTTTCTCTCTCCTGTTTTCCTGACAGAGCCCAAAATTTACCTCCCTTTGCAGAGGTGCCTCTTCATTAGAAATTTTTGCTATATGAACAATGCATTATGGCAGGTCTTTAATTTGTATATTGATATTAAAACAGGCAAATCTATTTTATGTATACATGCCATTTCCAGATGCTGATTTAAGAGGAACTTGGAACAGCAAAATCTATAATACCCTGACGATAGAGCTTACAGACGGATTTTTTCCCCTACTTCCTATGAAATTAGCGAACTCTACTGAATACCTGAGAGAGTTCACTTTTCTTCTGGCAGAGTAAAATGTTGCTTAAAACTGTGTCAATTAATCCAGAAAAATACGTTGGCCTGGTGTGATTGCAGCTGAGGACAATCACCAAAAATAAGTAAAATCAGAATACTGATACAAAAGCATTACTTAAGTGCTTGTCACTCCAGGAGAGTGTAGAGTATCCTGTTACTTCAATTAATACAGAAAATACATAGGAACCGGTTCATCCAGCACTGCAGTGCAACCACCTCTGAACTCTGACTGCATCACAGCAACATCACAAAACAGTCCAGAAGAGAAAACATTCTAGAGAATCTGCAAGGGAAAGCTGAAAGATAAAACACCATTACTTCTGCAACCGGAACTTATCAGTCTACCCGGGTTACTATCACACCTCTTTCCTTTATTTTCCTGGCATTTAGGGGGAAAACAAAAGGGAAGAAAAAAAAAGAAAGAAAATATCTTGGTTTTACTACACACAGCATTTCCCGTGGAAATGCCCACCACAGAGCAGCTAAGGAACTGCTCCACTAGCAGCTCATAAGCGAGTCAGTCACCCACAGAAATACCAGCCTCTTTGCCCGCAGTACCCGTATGTTCTTCAGAAACTCTCTTCTCAATTTCTGCCCAGGTCCAACCTGCTTTAGGACCAGACTTTTTTCAAGATATGACTTCAACAACAGAAATGTATTTTAATAATGACCTTTTCCATTCTGAAGCATTATAAATTCACATGACTGGAAAAGATATCATGAAGCTGTCATGAAACAGCACACAGGTAGGAGGTGTGCTGTAAAGATTCCAAATGAGATACACAACAAAAAATAATGACAAAAAATTTTTGTGGGTTTTTTTTGTGATGTGTTGATTCAGCATTTACAAAATCTGCTAGGACAGCAGTTTAGGCAAAATTCAAGTAGGACGACATAGAAATAGTTTTGCAGAGTTCCAGTTGCCTCTTGTCAGATGTTCTTTAATGTGCCCAACAGTGATTGGGAAATCAGAGACTAAAGCATATAGGTGAAAGACTATGTCTCACAGAAGAAACACCAGAAAAGATACATTTTGGTTGTTATTCTGATACTGTCGGTTATGAAAAATTTACTCAGATGCTCTGTCACCTGGTTAGAGAGTCCTTTCCATGCAGCTTCCTAGCCAACACCCAACAGCTGGTCCACCAAATATACAAAATGTCTGATGGCCAGGGGTTAACTGAGGGCCTTTGTACTCCTCAGCTTGATTAAAGAAACAATTTCCTAATACGTCTGGTTAACAGGAAAGCTTTCTGTGTTTAACTTGTCCCTTCACTGGAGCCTAGGTAATAGTCAGCAAATAATAAGTTGTTAAAATCAATAGAAAATACTGTGTTCAACAAATTGGATAATGTATAGCAGCACTTGTTTCTCCCACATTCTGTGTG